CTCTAAGGATCTAAACTTCTTGTAGTTCCAAAAATTAGTTAGTCAAATAAATTTTTGTTATGTAGTGTAATTATTTAATTTACTACGTGTAAAACATTATAAGAACACTCTTAACGTAAAAAATAAGTGATTTTTTAAAAATAATTTTATTCATTTGTAAGTAATTCAAGTGAATTTGTGCAGAGGACGAAGTAACCACACGAAACACGATGTAAAGTTATAAAATAAAGCGAATTTTATTCATAAAAAGTTGAAAGTAGAAGAATCGGATAACATACATAATAATAGGGGACAAAAAAACTGATCATGTGATTGTTGATAACCAATAAATCTAATAAATTTATATAGTCCGTGGCATTTCACAAGAGAGCGATGCTTAATATAGAAGCAGATTTTATTCGATTTTTATAATAAATTACCCTAAGTTAGCAGCATTATACTATTACCTTCAAAAATTTGGTTAATTCCAATTTAAAGTTAGCAAATTTCTAATAAATTTTAAATTTTTTTTCAATGGATTTATGGTTATAATTGGAATTTTTATTAAGGTAAAGTTCTTAAAAATGAATTAAGTATAAAAATTTGTAAATTATATTAAGTTATTTAATAAAGAAGATACAATATTGCTATAATTTATTCAAATTCTCAAATAGGTTTGGAATAAAAGAAGTTAAGTAATAAAAATATTTAATATTTACGTTAAATATATATTTTATAATTTATTAACAACGCAGCAAAATCATAATTATTTTTGATGAAAAATTTATGAATTCTCAATGCAAAGTAATTTAATTATTTCGAGAGAATAGCAACAAACTAAATTAATCGAATTAAACAAGTTAAGGAAAATTACCAAGTAAAAGAACTGAATATAAATATCTGGTTTCTTACAGAAAGACACATGCAAATGAAATTCTTCTGGAAATTCTGGAAACAAAATTCAAAGTTTTCTAATTCTGAAGACTAATTTCGATTCTTCTAATGATTTGTTAATCATAATTTACTATAATCTCCATTAATTAGAATAGATTCAGACTCACAAAGAAATTCGACTATCCGTGTAACAAGACGAGTTTCTAAGAGTTAAAACATTCGCATCAAATTCCTATACAAATATTCTTATTTGCCAGGGCGTAAATTATATTCCATTTGAAATAAAATAAAAATTGGTTGGAGAATTTGATAAACAAGAAGAGTTTTCACCAAAAATAAATTTAATTAATATTGGGTGGCCAAGAAATGAAGAAACCGAAGCAAAGATTGAACTTCCTCGGTTACAACTGGGTAATTACTGTTGTTGATGAGTGGCAGTCTATTGTCACCTCTACTACCAACAGGGAAAGACTCGGTAATTACCTAGATAATGACTTTTAGTTGTTTTCCTTTGCTGGGAGCAACAATTGGCACTGACTTTCCCCCTGTCTACTCCCCGTTTTCAAATGTAGAAATCAATATTCAATTCACTCTCGTACAATTTATCTTTGTGGTTTGTTTTATGTATTAATAATATATTAAAGAAAATTTTCTTCGTTAATTAAAGTTTTAAGCTATTCCAGAACGCATTCACAACAATATTTTAAAAATTGTAAGGATTTAACAAAATTTTTAATCAGAATGTAACAGAATTTATAAAGTAAATCAACTGGAAAATTCTTCTTCTTCTATTCATCAAAATTTACGTTTTTGATTTCTTATTTGAATTAATTCGATAAATTTTTAAACTCTAGTTTATTCTTTCCCCCCCCTCTTATCAAGAGTTAAAGGTTGTAAGATTTAATTAAATTTTAGCTTCATATAAAACGTTATCACTCGTCCATTTTGAATAAATTTCGAGTTACGATTTTAGATATTTCTCTGTAAATCGATTATATCAAAAAAATTATATTAATAAATTCAAAATTCTTGATAAAATAATATTTTTTAATTCATTAAAATCTACAATATTGCATAAGAACAGTAATTTTTTTAAAATCTTTCATACATAGAATATTAAACAATTTCAGAAGGTATATATATATATATTTTTTTTAATCAATAATTATAAATAATTTTTCGATCGGTGGTAAAAAAATCAATTAATTAAAATCATTATAATTTAAATTCTAATTTAACAATAACAATATACTCGTTTCAAATGAATATGTTAAATAAAATAAAAAATTTAAATGATTTTCGAAGAAAAATATTAAATCTGTCAGAACAAGTTGCCTTTTGTTTTTTGAATTTTTATTATATTTAAAGTAATATTTTAATCAAAATAATGTTTAAAATTTAACGTAAAATATGAAGAGAACATAAATAATATGTAATTAAATTTTTTTGCGCATTTTTGAATAAAATTACTGTATAAAATATATATATATATAACAGAGTCATAAATGCTTTAATTTGGTTTGTTGTTGAATAAAAAGAAGCAAATAAAAAAAATTAAATTCGAAATTAATTCACGTAAAATACAAGTTTGCTCTTAATAATAACAAATGCGAATATTTTTGAAAAATATGAGATAAAATTAAAAGAAAATTTCAAAGAGAAAGTATGAAAGAAGAATGTTGCAACTCAGTGATTCGGAAAATGGAATATCGTGTACTCTTATCCAGGATTTTTGTTTTCAACAAAACAAAAAAAAATACAAATGTAATCACTTGTAAATATAAAATAAAGAATTATTTAAGAATAAATAAATTCATTTGTAAACGAATTCATTTCTATCGTTTATAATATTATTTCCATATATGACAATTTGACGGTATTTATTAATATATTCGAATTGTAAAATTAATTTTGCAAATATAAGAAAAAAGATCATTTAAATTTTATTACAAGGAAATATTCTTCATCTACAGAAATCTGCGAAATATTCTAAATTGTAGAATAAATCTCATAACGTTTTTTTCTTTTTTTTTTGTTAACAAATAACAGATTCTGTTTCCAACTGGATAAGATTTTGATGCTATTTTCTAATCTATCATAATCCATTTTTTTGTACAAAACAATGTCTTCTTTACAATGATTCAAAAAGGAGATAAAGACTTAATGGAGAAGCAGTCGGGTTGTCAGAAGAACTTTTGACATTAGTATACGTGATACAATATATAATAGATATGCTTTTGCACTGTTTAATAATTAAAATTTTAGCACCAATATCTTATTAGTAATTTTGACTTTCTGAAGATAAACGTGGAAAGCTCTCTTCTCCTGTTTTATTTATTTATTTTTTCTTCTAAAATCTGCAAAACTACAACTGTTTGTTGACTAAAATTTAAATGATTCGGAAATACGTAAATTATATATATTTTTTTAAGAATTCATTTTTTCCGATCGAGTTTATTCTTCTTTTTTAATCTATAAAAAGCTCATTTTGAACGCCTTCTCACTTCTGAACGTGCTGATAAGTGTTGAACATCTACAACTCCATCCGCTACGATGCTGTGAGAAGCTGGCGTGTATAACTGTAAAATTTATTAAATAATATATCATTTATACCATTTTTTTTACTAAGAAGAGGATTTTATATTATCTGAAAATATTTTCTCCTCTTTAATAATATATAAATATATATTCTAAGCTTTACATTCTGAAATCTTTTATTTTAAAAGATGCGAATAAACTGTTAAATATTAACAATTTAGGCAACGATCGTTTATACATGAAAACTTTTAATATTTAAAAATATAATTCTATATTTATTTTATCCAATTCCAAATTTTATTTGAATATTTTTGAACTGTTTTCTAGTGTTATTCGCTAACGAATCAAGCATCAGTTTTAAAGAAGAAAAATTTTTTATCTTCAGTTCAATTTTTAGTAAAAAAATAATTAAATTCTGACTAAGTAAAATTTCCTTACCGTTTTTTAAATATCTTAAGCTGAAAATTAAAGAAAATTTCCAGAAAATTATCACGAAAAATTACAACCGAGTGGATATCTTTCCACTTACGTAAAGTACTAAAGAAATAAAAATTGAAATTGGTATACCGAATTAAATGGACCCTGTTCGTACCCTGCTGCATTCTCCTTCTAAATCACCATTTATGGACATTCGTAGTTTATTTTTCATGGCTTCCATTAGACTCACCTGAAAGATTTGAACGTTATTATTTATTTTTCTCGTGTAAATTGTTTTTACTTTTTCAAACATGAATTATGTTTTTACCTCACGTATTTCTTTGGCATTCGAATAAATGTTATTTATTATATTTAACATACAACTTTTCATACTTTTACTATCATAATTTTCTGTAAATATAGCTGCTACATTCGACAATTTTGCTATATTTCAATATTCAAACTATTATCAATTTATGAATAAAGTTCCATCCTTGTCTAACCCATTGTTAACACAGTTCTTGTACTTCGAGTAATTTATAAGAAAAATTGGTTGTAATTAATCATTTATAGAATTTAAAACAAAAATATTTATAATAATAAACAAGCAAAATATAAAATACTAAATTCTATAAAAAATTTCACATATGTCAGAATTAAATTGCAGTTCATTATTATTATTATTATTATTATAAAAATCAAGTATATTTTCAGATTAATTTATAATATTTCATTGTGATTAATATAAAATTAAATTTTATAAATTCAAAATAAAATAAATAAAATCGAATTTTATGAACTTTTTTATTTCTATCAAACATATTTATATATTAAAACAACTTCTTACAGAATTACTGGAACGTATAAATTACATTCTAGAACCTTAGAAGTCTAGTAACAACAACACTTGGAGGTACTGTACCATTATGAAAAAACGGGCGACACCAGCAGTTAGCAACCTTTGTCTATACCATTATTTATATCTTGTTACTCACTGTTTATGGTATAGATATATTTCTATCGCCATGGTAACATATATGGATAAAAGTTGTCTATACGCGCTTAGATAGTTCCGTAGATTTTAAAATAATTTTTGAACATGTGTTCTATACGTTCCATGGGTTTTTAAAAATAATTTGTAAATATTGTTCTTTGCATTCCACGTTCGAATCGTACTGGTTTAAAAACTTGAGGAAGACCGGTGTACGGTCGAAAACGTTAGTTATCCATTAAAGTGCTGTTGTTACTGGACTTTTTAGGTTCTAGAGTGTGACATTTATATAAATTATTATTTTATCTTATATTACATAATTTATAAATCTATTCAGAAATGAGAAGGTGCTCATAAAGATACGAGAGTTTATAAATTACAAGAGAGATCTATAAATTCAAAATATTTTATTACATATAAATTTAGATATTAGAATAAATTTAGTATATTTTTACAGAAATTTCGAATAAAAATATAAACTATCTATCTCCTTCTCGGCAATATTAGTTGCTTATACTACTAATAAACACACCTGATTTATATTTTCCGAGTTATTTTTTTCTTTATTCCGAACGTTTTCAGCCTATTTGGATAGGCCATCTTCAGGCTTTACATTCATCGTTCCAAATGGAACCATTTGTTCGAATTTATTTCATTTGAATTTGAACTTTTAAAAACTTATGTATATACAAGAGTAGACTAAGTAAATAGCTAATTAACAATAATATCAAAACGCGTTTCAACTTAACAAACACAAAAACACAAAAATTATAAAAAATTTAAATGAGACTAAATACTAATTCCTATAATCTCCAGTTCATATTTTTATGGATTATTAAAACCCATACTCTTTTCAATTTTATATTTCCAAGCCGTTGGTAATGCATTTGCATCATTCGCATTTAGGCATCGGTCCCTTATTTTACTTTTGTAAATCTCTATTTTTTCCATTTCCATCGCGATGGACGGTGAGTGCCCCGTTCTAACAATCTTCTCTTCATCCCATTTGACTACTGCTCCGTCTGATTGTGCCATACTTGCCAATATCGTGCTATCGAGTCCTTTATTAACACTATATTTGTGTTCCTTTACACGTACCGTAAGGTTTCTTCTGATCCCCCAATTAGGAATTGATAAAGAGTATATAGGGGTGACCAGAAGAAATTTATGTTTTTTTTGTGTTTGTTAAGTTGCAACGCGTTTTGATATTATTGTTAATTAGCTATTTACTTAGTCTACTCTTGTATATACATAAGTTTTTTAAAAGTTCAAATTCAAATGAAATAAATTCGAACAAATGGTTCCATTTGGAACGATGAATGTAAAGCCTGAAGATGGCCTATCCAAATAGGCTGAAAACTTTCGGAATAAAGGAAACACTACACAATTAAAAATTATTGTGTAGTTAAAACTATTAAACGTATGATAATATCACGAATGTGAGTATTGTGAACTTATAACAAACACCGAACTTTCGATTATCCGTGCATCGCCAAAATAATTTGTCCATTTTTCCCACGGACAGCGTAACGCATGAAAAGTTGTGTACACATCATCAGTGCACATGCAGTAATCTTTCAAGCTGAGCTGACTTTTCATGAAAAGATTTAAAACGTCCAAGAGAGTTGACCTCAATTTAAATACGAAAATTAAAAAATATATTGATACACGCAAAAAAGTCACACTTATACGCTATAAACAGTTTAAAAATACCCTACTAGTCTTAGAATTAAAAGACATTAATTTGAAATAAAAATGTAAGAATCATGCTTACAAACGTAAAATTTAAATTTCTACACGATATATTTAAAAATATTATTCGATAAATATGTATTTCAGCTTGACTCGAACTTGAACTTGAGAAACTAGGGAGATGTAATTCATACTCGCATCACGTTATAACGGGGTTGAGCTGTAGTTAATTTAAAACCTATAAATAGTATTTTTTTATAGTTTCGAGGGTTATTTTGGATTATCCGTGTTTTCCGGTTTTCCATGCCCTAATTAGCGCGGATAATCGGGAGTTCGGTATATTTCCGAATATAAATTAGTAAGTCCAACTTAAATGACAAAAATAAAGGAGCAGACTTTCTCGGAATGTAAATATTTCTCAATAATATTGCTAAACTTTTTTACCAATATTTAGCAAATGATACGTATCCTGAATATTATTTTTAAGAGTATTTCGTAAATAAAAATTCTGTGAGTCGTTTATGATACTTTCTGAATGTATTAAATGACTCAGAAGCATATTTATTAGATAGATGATGCCAAAAAATGATTCCTTAAGGATTAATTTCGCCGACAAAATTCTATATTCTATAGTCTATAACTTATAAGGAGTAATGCAAAATGACGGATTGACAGATCAAGTTAGAAGCTGAAACTTTATCGAAAATTAAAGCTACATTAAATTAAGATTTATTAAAATTAGGTATCTTGATTCTTTTTCAAGATTTAAACCTTATTTCAGTTGCACTCGGGATGTATTCAGCCATCGTTTTATGGCCTATCATTTACAGATCTGAATCAACTAGATGAATTCTTAGTAGAAATTACGACTGTTGTATATAGCACACGTCACTTGCAAACAATAATAATAATAATAATAATAATAATAATAATAATTCATTTTATTGAAATTTTTTGCTTAAATTAGTGTAATTTTTCTTTGAATTATTTGCATACATAAAGAAATTTCATCTAATTTACTGTATGAAGTGTTAAAAGTAACAAACATTCCTGTGCCACATTGAAAATTCTGCTGCAAGAGCACTTTACGACGAGAATTAGTCGTAAAGTGCTTTTACAAATGTGTTCTTATTCCAGTAAACGAAATAAAATTTTATGCGAAATCAATCTGTAAGTTTCAATCTTGACAATTATATTAAAATATACTTTTAAATGCTTTCGGATTTTTCGTTTCGACCAATAAATCGCATCGAAACTAAATTACCTAACAAGAATTCAGTTTCGATGCTATTAATTGGTCATGTAAAACATATGATTTTCATCATACGCGTTTTTCACATACAGTTGGTCTTTAATAATTCATAACTATAAGAAATTTTCAATTATACGTAGTTTTTACACTAAATTGTGATTTGCCCGCAGAACTTATTCCTATAATTAGGTATCCAAATTAAATTATCTAGAATATTGTTTTTAATTTNATATATTATCTTAAAAATAATAAGGAAGACATAATAATTATACATAAATTAACAAAGTTACTAAACTGTTAATTACCGTAATAATAATAATAATAATAATAATAATTCATTTTATTGAAATTTTTTGCTTAAATTAGTGTAATTTTTCTTTGAATTATTTGCATACATAAAGAAATTTCATCTAATTTACTGTATGAAGTGTTAAAAGTAACAAACATTCCTGTGCCACATTGAAAATTCTGCTGCAAGAGCACTTTACGACGAGAATTAGTCGTAAAGTGCTTTTACAAATGTGTTCTTATTCCAGTAAACGAAATAAAATTTTATGCGAAATCAATCTGTAAGTTTCAATCTTGACAATTATATTAAAATATACTTTTAAATGCTTTCGGATTTTTCGTTTCGACCAATAAATCGCATCGAAACTAAATTACCTAACAAGAATTCAGTTTCGATGCTATTAATTGGTCATGTAAAACATATGATTTTCATCATACGCGTTTTTCACATACAGTTGGTCTTTAATAATTCATAACTATAAGAAATTTTCAATTATACGTAGTTTTTACACTAAATTGTGATTTGCCCGCAGAACTTATTCCTATAATTAGGTATCCAAATTAAATTATCTAGAATATTGTTTTTAATTTTTCAGTTATGATCAAGAATTGATAATAATTATTTATTTTGTTGATTTCTAAAATTATTTTCTAAAAATTTTACTTTCACGTTGCAGTTTTATACACATGTATAAAACAATGAATTTATTGTTTCTCGTTACCCATTTGACTACTGCTCCGTCTGATTGTGCCATACTTGCCAATATCGTGCTATCGAGTCCTTTATTAACACTATATTTGTGTTCCTTTACACGT